AGGCGCCCCATGATTTTCTTTTTCTGTTGAAGTTGCTACACCAAGGACATCTTTTTTTTTTTTTTTTTTGACTCCTTAGTTAACAGGAGAACTTAAAAGCTGATTGGAAGTTCAGAGAGAAGGGTAGGATTTGTGAGTTCACCTGAATATCTTTTGAGACTTGTATAACCATGCAGTTCCATTTCGTGAAGCTACCTGGCCTTTTCAGATATTTTCATTTACTGTATTAAAAAGAAAAAAATATCTTAGAGGCTGTGGTGCAAAAAAAAAAAAAAAAAACCCCGAAAAGTTAGGTCAGCTGCCAGCCCTGACAAAGCTGTTTTCTTGTGGAATATAAAATCTGAGTTCTGATCAATGACATACTTAAGGAGTAATGGTAATCAGAGCATAGATTTTATGTTTAATTGTTATTTCTTTTGTTTTTTAAGATTTTATTTATTTGGGAGAGAGAGAGAGAGCACAAGCAGGGGGAGCAGGGGAGAGGAAGGAGCAGGCTCCCCGCTGAGCAGGGAGCCCGACGCAGGGCTCCATCCCAGGACCCCGAGATCATGACCTGAGCCGAAGGCAGATGCTTAACCCCCTGAGCTACCCAGGTGCCCCGGTTATTTCTTTTTTTTAAAACAAGAGTTAACGTACTGGGGGTTCAGTTTTATTTAGACAAATAGGGCTCTGATTTGGGGAGGAGGGTGGAATGCCAGCCCGCCCCTGCCCCCGCCCCCCCCGGGTGTGCGACACTGGGAGTAAGACCCCGGAAAAGCAGAGCACGATTTGCTGGCAAGCTCAATACTCCCGGCATTCACAGAATGCACTTCCAGAGAAGTGTTATGAGACGTTCTGACCAGCGTCTGTCACCACGTGTTAAACAGCATGGCTAGTTTGGGAAGCCAGTGACACAGCGAGAATGCTGGACGTGGGGCACCTGGGTGGCTCAGCCGGTTAAGCCCCACGTTGGGCTCGCTGCTCAGCTGGGGAGCCTGCTTCTCCCTCTCCCTCTGCTGCTCCCCCTGCTTGTGCTCTCTCTCTCTCTCTGTCAAATAAATAAATAAAATCTTAAAAAAAAAAAAAAGAATGCCAAACTTAGAGTAAATGAACGATTGCCATCACGATGGGCAGATGGCCAGTCTCATCAGGATGTTCTGCTGAAATTTCTGGAAAACCAGCGTTGTCACTGGTATGTATCGATAGTTTGAAACATGAACTGTTAGAAAAAAATAGCATGTTATGAAGCAACCATACATCAGAGTTTTCATTAGGTGATGAGACAGAAAGATTGAATGTGCCTCCGTTCACTAGATGGAGGGAAATAACATGGATCAGTGCTCACTACAGTAAGACTTCCTTGGGATTCTTCTCTTCAGCACAGGTAGACAAGGGAAGTCAGACGCTTTCTGAGATGGAGTGGTTTGAAAAGGCAAACCCCAGATTTTCTCTAGTTTATACACTGTGGGCTCAGGCTAACATCCCATGATGGAGTAATAGTTACGAAAGATCCAGAGACCTGTCACCTCAGTGTCATGATAACAGGTGGCACCACTGACCCCAGATACACTTGTAGGAAGGCCTTTTAAATCTCCAGTAAGTAAGGGACTAAAGGACCTGGTGAGGTGGTTTGTAATGGGCGTTGCTCTGCGTTTCTGTACTGTCTCACTCACTCTGTGTGCATCCCTATGGATAATGAGATGTCACACACGGAAGGGGCAGTGTTGCCATTGTTAGGTAAAGAAGGGAGAAGGGAAGGACAAGAGAAGTTGCAAAGAGTTTCTTCTGTTCATAGTCTGACGTCAGGTGCTCTGAGAGATGACTGGAAACCACGCCTGACTTCAGCGGGCAAGGTTATGAGTGAGTCCGGCCCAAGGGTCTGACAAAGCTCAAGTGTGGGCCAGCCACTGGTAGGAATGTGGTCAGGGAAAATGGGCCACTGTCCTGCTTCTAAGTGCTCCTGTAGTTGAGTGCTGTCTTTGAGGTCTGTGTGAACATTTGTGTGCGGCCACTTGGGTCCCTACCCATTGGAGAGCAGCCAGCCGCCTTAGGGGCCCCGCAGATCCTCCCTGGGGGAGGGCTGTGGCAGTGGCGCTCACCACTGGCCCCTGGTGGCGGGGTGCTGACATGGCAGGGCTGCCCACGAGAGTGGGAGTCCGTTGAGACTGCCCTCAGAGCCGCGGCCTTGGGGGCTGCTGGATCTTTGCTTTGAGCTGCATGTTGTGCATGATCACAGTTTTATTTTATAGGAATCCGAACCATAGAAGCCCAGGGAGGGAAAAATATGAAAAGCTAAATGACACGAATTTTAGAATGGATATTTTAGAAGATAGTTTCTAAAAATTCTATTTGTGTTCACAAATATAATCTCTGATTTGTTTTGATAAAACTCAAGTGTAGCATACTAAGGAGAAAATTGTAGAAAGAATGTATAGGATTGTAGCCTGGCCATAACTTTGCATTTGAATAATATAGGGACATACATATCCTTTTTGGTATATGGCTTTATTATATTGACCAAAACAAAGTGGCTTTGGAACCAGACTTCTTGAATTTGAATTCTGGCTCTGCCACTTACCACCGGAGTTAACCTTTTTGGCGTTAATTTCCTGCCATTATTGTTGTTTTCTGTGTAGCAGGTAACTGTAGTTTGCCTGAATATTTGTTATAGTGCTGATAAGTGATAACTTTTATTCTGTTTTTAACAGGGACCTCCGAAATAATCTTATTAGTAGTATAGATCCAGGCGCCTTTTGGGGACTTTCATCGCTAAAAAGATTGTAAGTATTTGAGTTGCTTGCTTATGAGTTTGAACTGTTCTTTTTTCTTTTTTTTTTTAAGGTTTTATTTATTTATTTTACAGCTAGATAGAGCATGCATGAGAGAGGGAGAGAGAGAGCACGGGCGAGCGCTAGCAGGGGGAGGAGCAGAGGGAAAGGGACAAGCAGACTCCACGCTGAGTGCCAGGACATGGGGCTCCATCTCACGACCTTGAGATCATGACCTGAGCCGCAATCAAGAATTGGACACTTAAAACTGACTGAGCCACCTAGGCGCCCCCGAACTGTTCTCTTATAAGGAACTGTTAACCCACTTCAAGCTTTAATGCGATAAAAAAAATGGGTTTTAAACAATTTTTAGTTTATTGACTAGGTCCATGATAGAACAAAAAGAATATTTAATATAAGTAGCATAGAAAGTGGTTAATTTGTGCAATAATTTGATTTGTTTGATGGTAGATGGTTGTGTCCTTCTTATGCTAATAAGATGATTACTGTATTGGTTTTGTCAGTGATCATAAGAAGTCATGCATAGAGGATTTTCAAGTTACGAATGCATTCAAACTCTGTTGTATAAGCTTATCAATTGAGGCCCCTTTCTATGAACGGTTTAAAGTCTTGCTATTTGCATGTATATTTTATCTGTGTATTATTATTTCAAAACCTACAGAGCAGTTTTTATTCCTTCTGAAGCTAAACAACTCCCCTTCACTCCTTTTTATGCGGTTTTCATAGCTGCCGTGTGAGCACGCTCCAGTTGCAGAGGTAACCCCACACTCGAGCCCTGCGGACTGTCCCGCCATCCCTTATTCCTTCGAAAGACATTTCTTATTATTAAGTGCTGGCTGCTTACCGTGGTCTGACTTCTTGGGAAGAGCTCACAGACCCTTGGGGGCAACCAGATAATGAAAATATGCCCTAACACATTCACATGGGAGCCGTCACAGATAAAATCATAGTAAGAACGTGCCAAGGAAAGGAGGGGCCACCTGGGAGGGGAATGGCCTGCAGATTTGACCTTGCTCCCGAGGGATGAGTACTACATATTGAAAAATAACAAGATGGGCGTTCTAAGCAGAGTGGGCGTCCGTGTGGAGCCAGAGCATGAAGTACAAAGTGGGGAAAGAGGGGTTTTGGAGTTTAGGCTGGTCATGGAGAGATTAGGCTCTTGTAGGCCTAAGATGACCTGCCATGTTAAAGAACTTTGAAGCTCTTTAGACAGTGTGGGGCTAGCAGGACTTTTTGAATATGGAGTTGACATCAGATTTGTGTTTCAGAATATTTCTGATGGCAGGAGGGAGAAACCGCTTAAGTGCAGAGAACTGGGGACAGAGGATGTTGGGGATGAGACGATGCTTTCATTCTTCTCAACAATCATCCTTCCCTCCTCTGTCCCTATCTCTCTCTCTCTCTCTTTTTTTTTTTTTGGTTCTATCATACTCTTTTATTTACTTTTTCTTTTAAAAGATTTTATTTTTAAGTAATCTCTACACCCAACATGGGGCTCGAACTCACAACCCTGAAATCAAGAGTCGCCTGCTCTACTGACCGAGCCAGCCAGGCGCCTCTCTCATGCTCTCTTACTATTTAATGTTTATAAAGTATCCGGGGTGACTGGGTACTTTTTTTTTTTTTAATGTCTTCTTTGTTTCCTGTGTTGTTTGTATAATAAAGTAAGCTGTGTTTGCTCTGAGTTGAATCATGCCAGGAACTACTTAAATGCTGACAAGGACCTTCCCTCCTAATACTTTTGACATTTTGTATCTATTAGTCTCTCATTCCAAACTCTTTCCTTTTTACAGTCAGATCCAGTTGTAAGAGTTGGCTATGCTATTTTTGCCTATTTAAAAAAAAATACTTTTGCAAATATAATTTTTTTTTTCATTTAAAACGTATCCTCTGAAGCTCTCCTCTCAGTCCCCTGTCTTGGTCAGTCTTAGTGTTCAGAATTCTAGACGATGAGGCCTAGTAGGAGTTGAAGAATTCTCTCTTCATTGTGTAACATTGTTTGGAATTTCAGTCAGACTCTGTAGGAGGGAACGTTATTACCATGGTTTTTGGTGAGGGCGCCGGATGACGGTTCATTGTTTTTATCAGACTTCTGTGCGCTCCGGACGCCCCAGGATGTCTGCAGGAGGTCTCACCCTTGATCGGTTTTCTTCCCCGTGCACCCTGCTCTCCATTATTTTCCAGTTCAGGCTTTTTAATGAGGCAAGTCAGAAAAACTGGCCCGTCTGGAGTAGGTCAGTGGTGTTAATGGACACTGGAGTTCTGGGTAGGGAAGATAAGTGTCAGAGGCGAGTGGGCATGATGTGGGCGTCGGAGTGGCAGTGGTCACGGTGTAGAGTTCGGTTTAGAGCCCAGTAACAGTAGTAACTGGGTCCAGCGGGGAGATCAGGTGGTGAGACAGAGAGCAGCATCAGTTCCGCTGAACAAAAATGGAGTCTGTTGTGGATGCCCAGTGGTGTGCCCGGGTCCAGAGATAGAAGGGTAACCCAGGAACCCCTCGAGGGCTTGGCCGTCTCGTGGAATCCTGTGCACTGACCAGGAGCCTGGATGTGGACTTGGAATCTCCTTGGAGAGAGAGGGAACTGTAGCCAGAGCGTGGCTGCAGAGAGCTGCTAGGACCTAGGCGTTCTGACGCGGGCGAGGGCCTGGAACACGGCCATAGCCAGGCTGCGTGCACCGGTCAGGGGAGAGGAGGGGCAGCGGCTTAGTAAGCTTGCTTGATGACAGTGAGTCACTTCCTTTGTGCTCCTCACCAGGTGCACATGGAGGGTCCATTTGAATCAGGGGTGGGAACAGGAGGCCTCAAGTAGGAAGCGGGAATGTGGGTGTTAGACCCACCCTATCAGGAACTGGGGCTGAGGCCGAACCGTCTTTGTTTTATTTGTCCCTCCTGGAAATTCTGAGTTTGGGAACTTCTAGAATACCTTTCCCTCAAGCTTTTTCTTTTTTTTTTTTTTCCTCCTATGGAGGGATATGATGTCATATTGCCATCATATCATTGCTACGAGACAGACAGCTTATTCCCTCCCTTTGTGATTGGCCCCACTTTACTCCCAGCTTTTTGGGAGGGAAGCTCTTTTTAGGAAGATACGTGCTAATAATGTCTTCATGTTGAGATGCGGGTTGAAGGCAACTTGACTGCTAATAAAAAGCGGTTTCATCAGGATGTTTTAAGGATAATGCGGAATATCTTAGATTCTCTCTCCAGTTCTTTATCCTTCAGTAAATAATTTCTCAAGTACTTCCATCCAAAATAAATAAATAAATTTCTTGTTCAGTAGCATTTAATTACTGATCTCGTCCCGGGCACTGCCTGAGCATTTTTTCATTGCATTACACATTAAGTAGTCTCTTATGTTCTTGCCTAGGAAGGTAATTGCCATTTATAATATTCATCCCGCTAGAAAATACATCCTTAATTTCAAACAGTTGACGTGTAATGGAACTTAAGGTATACGACTTGCAAGCTGAGAGAGTCCTATATGTAAACTCAGTGAGATACAAAGATATTTGTGGTAGTAATGTTTGCTGGTTGCTTGTGGATACAGGCACTCTTTCTAATGAGGCTCTAAATCATTCATTTCAGTTGTGCCTCCCACTCGACAGCCACACATATAGCTTTTTTTGTAAGTGTACCATGCCTTTGCCTTTATTTTATAGATAATTTGAATCAGGAAGATTAAGTGGCTTTCTGAAGGATAAACTACCAAAAGTAGGTAAAACCTAGACCTATTCAGTTTCTCTTTTTTTGCTTTATCAACAAATTCAAGCTGATTCTCAATCTAAATAAAACCCATTATCAATACCTAAATACCATTTTAAATAGGTATAGCTGTAATGAAATTGTTTCCCAAAGAATCACTGGTAATTACACCAGTTAAAGCTCAGAAGTGACACAAGATAATGAATTGAGCCCAGAAATGCTTGTTTAAGCAGCAATTCACAAAATGATGCCTAATTTTCTTAAACAGTAAAACCCAGAAATAAAAGGAAAATCAGCTGGAATAAAAAAAGTCCCGTCGGATTAAATACTTACTTTAATATTCTGAGGAGCAGAAGCCTGGAACACAGCAGGTGCAGATAAAGTTTCGTATTGCTTAAGTTTTTTTTTTTTTTTTTTTTTAATCAAAAGTTGCCATAAGATAGGAAAGGCAGAACTGTGAAATTTAGGGAAACTCAGGATTACCTAAGCTAGATTTCGGAATATCTAGGGGAGAAACTTAGCACATAGGTGCCTGATTCGGATGCCCTGTCCTTATCATTTCTGGTTTCTTGTCTGGCTAATACAGTTTCTGCTGTTACCAAGTTATACAATTTGGACTCCAGCAGTTTTAGTTCAGAAATGGGTGGTGCACATTGCTTCTGTAAAGAGTAACTCAGAGCATGACTCAAAGAATAGGTACTTTTCCATTACAAAGAATAATATGGACATTGAAGAAAAGGTGATAAAAATATTTTTGGAAGTTTGGTTTAGAATCTTGTTCTAATTCTTTTATCAAAATCCAGGGGGTGAATAATTCCTAACTAGGAACTGATAAAAATTAAGATTCATTGTTTTAGGGTTTTCCTGAATACAGTTTAGTAAGTCTAGTGATGGAAAAATTGCTGAAAGCCATGGGCTCTCACTTGAAGTTTACAGAAATTGTCATTTATTATCTCCCTGTTAGAATGCATTCTCTTGATTAAAATTGAAAATTGTGTTCACTCTCTGTGGTGTGGAGAAAAATAGTGCAGAAAGAACGCAATATCTACTACACATTTTATGTAGATAAAAAGGAAAAAGTTTCGTGGATTGAGGAGAAAAAAAATACTTAGAAAGTAACATTTGATAGGAACTATAAGAAGTTAGGAATGGAGCAGGGCACCTGGGTGGCTCATTCGGTTAAGCCTCTGACTTCAGCTCAGGTCATGATCTCAGGGTCCTGGTAGTGAGCCCCATGTGGGGCTCCATGCTCAGTGGGGAGTCTGCTTCTCCCTCTGCCCCTCCCCCACCTTATGCACACGTGCGCACTCCCCCCTCAAATAAATAAATAAAATTAAAAAAATGTTAAGAGTGGGGCGCCCACGTGACTCACTCAGTTAACTGTCCGACTCTTGATTTCAGCACAGGTCATGATCTCAGAGTCTTGGGATTGAGCCCCTCCTAGGGCTCCAGGCTTAGGGGGAGTTTGCTTGGGATTCTCTCTCTCTCCCTCTGCCCCACCCTCCGTTCTCCCTCCCTCTCTTTCTCTCTCTCTCTAAAATAAATAAATCTTAAAAAAAAAGTTTAAAGTGATGGGAAAAAATAACTAGGCCATTACCTAGATAAAGCTAAAGTAATCTGGCTTGGAGATTAAACGATAGATCTGTGAGGTAAAAGCAAACTCAGTTTTCTCATTACAGTCAAAACTTCTGATTTAGGGATGACATCAGAAAGCTTAAGTTTCAGGTATTCTTGAGGAAATAAAACCTCCAGCATTTTGGTAATTTGCCCCTTTGTCTTTTGTCTGTCTGATGTTCGCTGACACTGGGCTCTATCCCTGACTTCCACAGCTTAGTGAACGGTGTAGGTCACCTAAGGTATTCTCTCACAAACAGTAAGATAGGTTGAGTCTCATTTTTACCACTCCAGTCTTATCGTGAGTCATTTTACAGGAGTAAGTGCTTGAAATATAGAGAGCACTATAATTAGGCAGTGCTTAGTCTGTACACAGATAGGTGAAAGCAAGGATTATTTTTTCTCTCAGTGCTCCCCTTCACTCACCTGAAGTAGGTAAACTTCTCAGGGATGCTGAAAAGAAAGGTCTAGCATGATACCTGGGTGCTGTTCTTGAATACTGAACATATGAAACCTTCATCCAAGAGAACTAATTGAAGACACTTTTTCCCCCTTTCTCCTCAGGGATCTGACTAACAATCGAATAGGATGTCTGAATGCAGACATATTTCGAGGACTCGCCAATCTGGTTAGGCTGTAAGTATGTCTTTTCTACTAAAATATAAGAAGACATGTGGACTAGTACCCAGATATTTATAGACACCTAGGACATGTCTGATAGTAAAGTAGCAGCTGTCAGGATTATAGAAGGAGAAGGAGATAAGGAGCTGGAAATTCAATCTTGGGGATATAATGTCATCAGAACATAATATTGTGTATTCACACACACAAACACACACACACACAGAGCCCCTTAATGGGGTATATGCCTCAGGGAACATGTTCATGTTGAGAGAGATGGTCAGAAGCTTTGCTGGTCTGGATAAATTTCCTGGAAGGGGTAAAACCTGAGCTGATGGTCCAGAGATTGCAGAGATTTGATTAGTTAGAAAGGAAAAGAAGTGAGCCAGTGATGCCTGAAGGTGGAAGGTGAGAGCAAAGACAGTGTCAAGGGGAAAGCCGTTGATGTGAAGAGTGAAATCACCATTTGAATCATGCCTCTGACTTTGTGATTTGGGGTGAGTTCACTTTTCTGAGCTTTTCTGTTTTTTTTTTATCTGTTAAAGTAGGTTCATGGTACCTCAAAGTTATTATAAAGATTAATTAAAATTTGAATGATCTGTATCTCTCTCTTTTATAATTTATATATAATATAAATACAGAAGAACTTTGTATAAGCCATCAAATAACATTTTTATTTTCTTTTTAAAATGAGGAGGCTCTGTTTGGGAGTAACTAGAAATCAAGCTGATTATCTTTAATAGAACTTTATATGGGAGCATATGAAAGGCAGATGGGCTTAGAACAGATTTAACAATAGGAAGCCACTGAAGGACGTTTACGTTGGGAAAGTGGCATCCTGTTTTACAGAATAGTTGTCTGGGAGTAGGGTGCAGGATGAAATTTGGGATTGAGGGTCAAAGGTCTAGTTACAAGGCTTGTCTATGCCTGGTTCTTTCTGTGGCTTTTCAGAATGTTTCTGCAACTTCATTCATGTTAACTTTATTATATATATTTTTAAGATTTTATTTATTTGAGAGAGAGAGACAGTGAGAGAGAGATCATGAGCAGGGGGGAAAGAGTAGAGGGAGAAGCAGACTCCCCACTGAGCAGGGAGCCTGATGTGGGACTTGATCATGACCTGGGATCATGACCTGAGCCAAAGGCAGACGCTTAACCGACTGAGCCACTCAGGCACCCATTCATGTTAACTTTAAAAAAGCTCTTAGGGCCTTCAATGGTGAGATCATTTCATCTCTGCACTAAGGGAGGGGACTTCAGGTCACTTGTTAGGATACCACCGGGTATTCCTGCTTCTTTACAAACTTGTAGTATTTTTCAGTGAGCCCTTTAATTTGGGAGGAGAGATATATGGCCAAACTTAAGTGTTTAAGTGTAAGATTGATTTGGTGTACAGCTTTGCTCATAACTTGAAATTAATTAAACCAATTGCATTTTTCTTTTTTTGTGGCTGGATTGCAGCAATTTTATTTCAGTGCTTCTGTTATCTCTTCTTGAGAGTCTTATATTTTTGGTTCTGAGGACTGCATAAGAATTGGCAAAATGAGGCATTTATGAAGGAAAAATCTGTTATATTTTTGGGTAGCTGTGACTCAAGTAATGAAAAAGAGTCTTGGGTTTACCATTTCATCGACTTTAGTTCCAGATGAATTTATAACTGTGGCTCAGGGATTCTTGACCCATCAGCAAATGTTCCTTAGGCAAAAGAGCTGGAAGGGACCATCTTTACATTAGGGCCACTTACTATTTCTTTACACTTTTTTTTTCCCTCCTGCATCAAAAGCTGAAGTTTTTGGAAGTTCTGAAGCTTGGGTCCATCTCTTACATTTTTATTAATTCTGTGCTATCTGTTGTTACAGGAAGTTACAGGACATTTATCCAAGTGAATCATTAAAGCAGAAGAATAGCACTACCAAGTTTCCTACTTTGAGATTTGGTTGAGTGATTTTGTAGCCCATGTAATAATAGGTCACTGTGGCTCTTTTAAATGCAACACTCTATGGCATATACAGAAATAAACCTGACTTTATGTCCTTTAAAGACTGTTCTAAGAAAAATTGGCAATTGAGGTAGCTTTTTTAACTTCAGGAATGCATTGCAGTGGAGATGCTTATAATAAGTTGGGTTGACACAGGTCTAGAGTCAGGGATCAAGAAACTTTGGACGAATGTGCTGTATGGATAGCAGCAAACTGCAGATTTCTAGGCTCTCTGAGCCAGCCTGGATGCTGGTTGTGAAGGCTGGTAACTATCTGTGTTTCCCACTGGGAAGAAAAGCACCTTCTCAATCCAACAAGTGGAAAAGGGAATTTGATTAGCCATCGGGCATGTAGTGCATTTCTTACATAAAGTCTGTCTCCCACCCAGAAGAGCAGGCATATAGAAGAAGGGAATCCAGAGTGGATCACTCTTTATAGATATTTCCTTTACTGCTTCTTCAGCTGGATTCTCTGGATTGCCTTGGAACCTGGGATCTGGGACTAGGGGGCCTCTTAGCCAAGAAGGCTGGAGTGGAGGCCCCCTAGGGCCTGGGTGAGACCCTGGCAGACAGATGGTGGTCTTCTCGCCCATGCCTCTCATCGTTTTGAAACACATCATGGCTTTGGAGGTTTAGGTTAAGAATTCAGAAATAACCTTAAATATGTCTGAGGCTTCAGTGGACATGGATGTAGGGGGCCTAATTGATTAATCCTGTATATGGATCTTTGCCTTTGTTGATGGAGAATTTCTGGGGCCAACTGTCTCAGAGAAGTGAAGACATACTCCCAGATGTTCCTACCCCATCCCTCTCCACAGTGGAAATAACTGGCAAGCCAAAGATGGGGAGCTGGAAATGAACTTCTGTGAAGTCTCTGTCCTTCACTTAGGATGTCACTTTCCAGAGAAGTTGTCAGGAGCACAACAGATCAAAAGCTTTCCTTTTTTCCCCTTTTTTATGAATTTTTATCAGTTTACATCTTGCATTTTTTTCTAAGAATTATACCTTTAATATTTTTCTATCAGAAATAATTGGTGAGTGGGGACTCCTGGGTGGTTCAGTCAGTTAAGCATCTGTCTTTGGCTCAGGTCATGATCCCAGCATCCTGGGATGGAGGTGCCCCTCCACCCCCCAGTCTGGCTCCCTGCTCAGCGGGGAGCCTGCTTCTCCCTCTCGCCATGCCCCTGCCTCCCCCTGCTTGTGCTCTCTCTCAAATAAATAAATAAAGTTAAAAAAGAAATAATCGGTGAGTGATATTTATAAGAACTTCCTTTATACAATTGAACAATTACTGGTGTCATTAAGTAATAAAACCACATAGAGATTTGAAGGAAAAATTAAATCTCCCTTCCATCACTTCAGACGTATCATCGTGAGCTAGCGTGTGCTAGCTATCTGGTGTATTATTTTCAGATTTTCTGTTGCCCCCACAAATGTACAGGCATACGTATGGGGCTTTAAATTTGTGCTGTACTCAGCAGTTTACTTAAAAAAATCACCAGCATGTCATTAATATCTTTTCAAGAGGGTACATGTTGATATAGTTTGTTTGTTAATAATTACAGAATATTCCAAGTATAGAACTGATTGTAATTTAGTCACTTACTCCTCTGTTGTAGGAGATTCCATCTGATTGCATTTCCCCCGCCTATAACAAATTGGCCCTGGTAAACATCCCTTGTATATACATAAGTGATGCATCGTACATATTTAACTTACAGGAATTCAAATGTATCTGTTTAGCAAAAAGTTAAGTAAATAAAGAAAAATTAAGATATTAAGAAACCACAGTGTAAAGGGGTGGGAGTGGGGATGGATGGATAATTCACCTGCTATTGTATTCAGGGAGCTGATAGGACATGGGAACAGTGACTTTGCTGGTTGTCATTCTCAGTTCCCTTTTACTTTTTTGTGTAAGTATCTCAGAGCTGGAGTGTGATTTTGGTGTTTTAAAATGTGTGTAAGTTTTTATGGTCCCCAGACCGAAGCCAGTACTCTGGTGTTCAGCCAGTCTTCTTCTAGCACTGGAGGGAAAATCGGTTTGTGTTGGGATTTACTGAGAGCATGGTGTGTCTTACTCCAATGTGATTCCTTCCTTCCTCTGTGATTTTTAAAAGGAAATAGCTAATAATATCTAATGATTAGAATGAAATTACCTAATAATTAGAATCTAATGATCCCTGTGAGATGCCATTATTTTGTTTATACTTAAATCCTATATTTGTATGGTAGAGTTTTATTTCCAACTTACTATTATGGAATCTTTCAAACTTGTAAAAAACAAACAAACAAACAAAAAAACCCAAAACATTAGAGACAATTGTATAAGGAATCTCCATGTCTCCTTCCCGCAGTTTCAACACTTAGCAACTTCATAGCCAGTCTTGTTTTAGTTCTATCTCCCATCTCTTTGTCTTCCTGCCTACATTATTTTAAACAGATCTAAGTAATCATATAATTCCACATAGGGTAGCTTCATAAAAGTACTGTTGTTTGTTTTAATTGCAATACCCTTTTCAAGATCTATATTCAGTATCCCCTCCGATAGGCCAAAAAAGAGAAGGGTGTCTCTTTCATTGTTCTTTTAATTGCCAGATACCCTTTTTTTGTTTGTTTGCTTAAGTTCCTAGGTAGTTCTCCTGTGAAGATCAGAATCCTTTTATCCAGACGTTTTCTATCAAAAATTTGTATGCTACATTTAAAAGCCAATCCAGGGATGTTTTTACTGAATCTCATTGTATATTAATTTGTGAAGGATTCGCATTTGTGTAATACTAAGTCTTCCCAACCAGGAATACACTGCTGCAGAATCCCATCTATGGACTGTCACTTTCTCCCACATGGGAGGGATTCAGCCCAGACTCCAGAGGAGAGGTCCAGGTCTCAGGACATCTTCCTTGAGAATTCTAGGTTTAAGTTGTATCTATTCTTGATATTAAAACAGGCACTGAACAGAGCTTGTGGTGATTAGACCATCCTGCCATCTTCCCAGAGCCTTCAGTCCCATTTTAGTATTAGAAGCTTCCTGAAGATGGAGTCTACATCCTGAATAGCCACACTGTTGATCACCTACTGTGTACCACAGCTTGTTACTAGCTGCCAGGGGTACCCTGGTAAATAAGACCCACAAGGCCCTCTGTCTTGGAGCTTAGGGTCAAGTGTGGAATCATTATGGGTATAACAAACCACCTCAAATTGTAGCATAGGGCGTTCTGGGTTTAATTCATATAAAACTCTGCAAGGTTTTAAATATTTATTAAAGTCATCTGATACAAGGGGGGAAACAAGATAGGTTAAGTAATTTGCCCAAGGCCAGCACTGAATTATGTCAGTTTTAAACCCCGGACTCATTGCACTCTGTTGACATATTTTATTCAGTTCCTGTGGGTTGCTACTGCTGGTTATTCAGGTCATCCCTGTCCTTTTCTTGTTTTTACATTTCTGTTTTCTTAAATGATGAGTTAACACGTGAAGAGTAATTCACTTATAATGAGAGCATGACTAAAGTTCTGGCTCAGTAAGGTACCTTTCAGATTCACCTGGTATTTGGTAGAAAATCATTACCTGATAGTAATAACTTCAAAATAATTTTATTACTTTATTTTGGTTGAAAACAAATTTCTTTATCCCTGGATAAAATATTTATTAGTTGTTCCCTTTTTATAAGATTTAAAACAACTTTCATAAATTCTTTATAACATTATTCAGTGATTATAGGACACGTTAGGAAATTGTATAAAATGATATATAATCGTTAGTATTTTTTAAATGAGATTATTTCCTTTTTTTTTTTCCTAGAAACCTTTCAGGGAATTTGTTTTCTTCATTGTCTCAAGGAACTTTTGATTATCTTGGCTCATTACGGTCTTTGTAAGTAATTTTTTTTTCCTGTTTTGATAAATATAACTTGGTTTTTAAAAATTAAGAACAGTTATTAAATGGTTTAAGAGACTTCATAGGGAAAATCTGTTGATTTTGCAAAAGTTGGACTCTCACTCGAGCGTATGCATTCTCATTGGAAAACATACCGTAAACCTGAATAATGTGTTTCAGACTGGGACAACCGTTTTCTCCTTAGAATACTATATCTCTCTATATTTAGAGTAAATAAATTGGCAATTCATTCTCTTTCACTTTATTTTTCAAGTTAGAAAATATTTTACTGTTTGACTAGTTGAATCCACAAGGTATAAAATATCCCTCCCTATGAAGAATCTATAGTTAAGAATATTTTATGCTTTTGGGATTTACCTTTTATCCTGTAACCCCTTTCCCAAACTGAATTCACAACTTATTACTGACATTGCTAGGAATTTTTATGTAGAATGCTTGCTTTGTACAATCAATGCAAGATCATATTGACACAGTTCTCTGTAGCTTTAGAATTGGTAGATTTTTTTTTTTTTCCCTCCCGGAGCAGTTTTGTTAACTGAGATTGTATGGGAGTTCCTTTTGACAGTAATGGTATTTCTAGCTAGACCATAATATATTTCAAACTATAAGTTACACTAATTTCTATTGGAAATACAGTTAAATATAATGCTTTTTAAATTTTTATTGTGTATAATTTATGGGATTGACTCTTTTTCCAAGGAAAAATGTCTTCTCTAGCAGATGCTGTTTGGTGTTTCCTAACTTCTTTCCTACATCCCCTCCCTCCCCTCCCCTTCTCTGCTCTTCTCCTTGAAGTTTCTAGACCTAACATTGAGCAGTTTTCAGTGAGATGTAGCTAATACTTAGGCATTCATCTGGCTCCTCAGCATTATGGCGGACCCATGTACATGCTTCTGGAGCTATGCTGGATTAAACTCTGGCCTTTTTGTTTCTGTTACTGTTTTTTAGTGAAAACATCTCTTTCTGGCATATTTAGTGGGCTCAAGTCAACAATTTATGTGAAGTTAAGAAAATAAAAAAGACTACAAAGAATAATTGGGCTTTTGAGACCCTGGGTAGCAGGAATGTAGGAAGTATTTTTGTCCAAAAACTGGGGAAAATGACCAGTGTTTTTTTTACTCGATAGTGCTGGAAACCGACCAGAAGGTGGTGCTTAGGAGTTAGAAATCAGTCCAGGCATCCTGTATTGGTTTTTAAAATTTACTTTCTCTTTGTATCTCATTCCAGCTCCCATCCTCTTTTTTTTTTTTTGCCAGAACTAATAAGATGAAGCCTTTGCTTGCACGCTATCTGTGTTAGGAGCACACATTCTGTTTGCTCTTTGCACTTTGATTTATTTGTACAGAACACGTTACATTCTGTATTGGTTGTATTCATTTTCTTCCACTATTATATAATGTCCTCCAGGTTGACAGGGGACAGTATCTGTATTTATTGTTATTAGCTGGACTTAGCATACTGTGCAGCACATAAATAGCACTTTGTAAAACCAAGTATTCAATAAATTATTGTGCTTTTATCCAAGCTATATATATTATCCTCTCTTGTTTCTTATACCCAGGTGCCAAATTATAAAACTTCTTGCCTCATGTAAAAATAATTCTGTATATTCTTTCATATCAAGTGTGAGGTATTCTTCTATTTTTGATTGGTTGAGTCTGTACCCCTTAAGTTTGTAAGTATCTTGGTATCAGTTGGTGCAAGCAGAGAGGTGTCAGAAAGAGTCTCCACTCTTGATAAACTTAGACTCTAGTCAGACAGAATATAACCATGGTAAACGGTCACATATTCCTTTATGTTGCCAGAATTAATAGTTCTAAGGCATTTAAGGCAAGAACATGGCAATGATGTTGGAACAATTAGGGAAGTCTTCAAGGTCCTCTGTTAGTGCCACCATGCTTAATTGATGAATGGGTAGAAATTCGATTTCGCACAGAAGATGGGAGATTTGGTCTTCTGGACCCTCGGATTAAGGAACTTGTTGCATAGAAGGGGGATGATATGTAGATTTGTGTTTGCATCCCAGCTTTGATCTAAAGCAGGTAGTCCCTCAGTTAGCAGGGAGGCGTGCTGGGGTCAGCCATTCCACCTCTCCTCTCACTGGAAAGGAGAAGAGAACCAGTTGGTACAGTATGTGCCAAAGGCCGCTGAGGGTGAGCGGTGGTGTGCTTGTCACCCAAAGCAGAAGCCAAGATAAAGCAAACGTGCTGTTTAATTTTACTCACCATACTCCCTAATTTGTATTTTGTATGCTACAGAGAATTTCAGACTGAGTATCTTTTGTGTGATTGTAACATATTGTGGATGCATCGCTGGGTGAAGGAGAGAAACATCACCGTTCGGGACACGCGCTGTGTTTATCCAAAGGCTCTTCAGGCCCAGCCAGTCACGGGGGTGAGGCAAGAGTTGCTGACATGCGGTAAGGGAGAAGGGGAAGCAGAGGAAGGGTTTGCCATATTTTACTTGCTACTCTGTTTTTCTTGACAATCTGAAAATTCTCTGTTTACTGTGCTGGAATTGATTATAACCATTAATCTTCACGGATCTGATAATACATATTTAGTTTATGCGAACAGTTAAGTCAGCTGGATAAAAAATCGTTTTTTTGATTGGTGTTTAAGGTTCTTGGGTTCTGAACAGCTTTCTTTATGGAAAACAATTTCAGAGAATAGTGTAGAGCTTCAGATTTTCCATCAGTTGGCAAGCCAGGAATTTGTTGATAGTTAAAAAAAAAAAAAAATCTGAGGCTGCAATCATTATTTGTTGGTAGGAGTGTGAAATAATAGAGCCTTTTTGATACAGAATTTGGCAGTATGTATCAGTGTTCTTAAAAATTTGATACAGTTTGATCTAGTAATTCTACACGAGGGTTTAATTCTTAGGAAATGATCAGCTTTGTATGTCAATATTTAAGTATAAGTATATCTTCAAGTCTCAAAAATAGGGGATTGGTTAAATGACTTGTGACACATCCACTTATAATATGCAGCTATTGAAAATCATGATTTTGAATAGTATCTGAAGACTTGAGGGAAATATGTTTATTAAATTAAAAAGAAAAAAAAAAAAACACATGAACCAAAAACAGTCCTTAAAATGATCAAAGGAGTTTCCAGTTTAGTCTTTGTATCTGGAAATAAGAGTTCTGTACTTTTTTACGTTTTCTCTTTATTATCATTATTGTTGTAGTTCCACAAGTAAAGCATGCTATTGGATGAAAATTAAGATTTGTGAAAAGAAACAGCATATACATATATCAGATCATCATGATGTACACTTGAAATATCTTACAATTTTGAATGGGGGAGGGGAGAATACAAATATCTTACAATTTTGTCAGTTATACCTCAGTAAAGCTGGAAGAGAAGAGAAACTAAAGGAAGTAAACCAAACAAAGCCCATCTTACATTCTTATCACTCAAAGGTAGCTGTTACCAGAGATAACTTAGTGTATTTTCTTCATCTTTTTCCCGTGCTTTGACCAAAATGTCATCATACTCTAATGATATTTTGTAACTTTTTAAAACCTGAGATAATGTAAACCCATTTCCTCATCATATAAAATAGATGCATACCAATTCATGATATAGATGTTGTTATCATGTCTCTTTAGGTTGTTAATAATTTCTTCATAAATAATTGCAAGGATTAATTTGCTTGCATGCATGTTTGCATATGTGCTGTTATTCCTTTAAATAGACTGCTGCTAAAAACAGTAGACTGTGGACTAAATATTCTAAAGGCCTTTAATGAGTTCATGGTGTTTGTGTGTATTTTTGCATACATATTTAGGATTCCTCCCTTTTGTTTATATGACTGGAAAAAAAGAATATCAGCTTTTTAATAGTGATGGTAATATATGGGATTTTAAAAGATTTTTCTTTCCCTTTTCTTTAAATGTTCTAAATTTTTTCACTGAGTATGCATGACTTCTATAAGCAGAAACCAGTGGTTTAATCAAAGGTAGTACTGTCTGCTGAAGGTATTCTAAAATTATATATATACTTACCACCAGTTCCATTCTCCGGGTTTAGGTATCATTTACAATCTGGTTTTTTTTAGTAAGTGCTGAGATACCACCAAAAAGGAACACTTTAAGTGTCAGAACTGATTATGAGATGGTTTCATTTCAATTTTACTAATTTTGTTTTCATCTAGGACCCATTTATCTCAGTAGGAGCCTTGGTGCTAGCATTAAAATGCTGGTTGCTGAGGAAAACTTGTTTCTCCATTTAAAAAATTTTTAATTAGAATTTCTATAACTTTTTTTAAGATTTTATTTATTAGAAAGAGCGAGAGAGCATGTGCGCACGCACACATGAGCGGGGGGAGGGCAGAGGGAGAGGGAGAAGCATTGGCTTCCCGCTGAGCAGGGAGCCCGATGCGGGGCTCGATCCCAGGACCCTGGGATCATGACCTGAGCCGAAGGCAGATGCTTAACCGAATGAGCCACCCAGGCTGCCCCTCTATAACTTTTAATTCTGGGGTGTGACTGTAGTATTGTATTTGTTTACTGAGTCTTCATTTTATTGTCTGTAGACCCACCCCTTGAATTACCATCTTTCTACATGACTCCATCTCATCGTCAAGTTGTGTTTGAAGGAGACAGCCTCCCCTTCCAGTGTATGGCTTCATATATTGATCAGGATATGCAAGTGTTATGGTATCAGGATGGACGAATAGTTGAAACTGATGAATCACAAGGTATCTTTGTTGAAAAGAACATGATTCACAACTGCTCGTTGATTGCAAGGTAAACTGTGGATTTTATTTATTTCAGAATTGTCACGTTTAGTTAGAATTTAAATTAATAATTTATCTTCTTGCATTTTAAAATGCAAACCTTCGGTTTTCCTTTTCCTGATTTTTACTTCTCCAGAAATTAAGGAGTTGCCTTTTCATCCAGTTGTGATGAAAAAAAGCATAGGATTAAAGGGAAACACTGTTATACTTTTTGTTTAAAGTTTTAGGTGGGAAAATGTAAACTTTTAATGCCAAACTTAACTTCTAACCATTTACTGCTGCTAAACTCAGATTTTCACTTTTAGCAATCACCTAATTTTCACTATCTTGGTTAATGCTACATCTTAAGATACTTCCTTTCTCTACTCCACTGGTATAAAAAAAATAACACCTGTCCTGTTAATCCCATGCCTGGTATGATCACCAAAATCATTAATTCAAATGAACTTTATAAAGTATAAAAAATAGAGTAAAAATATATGTATTACCATCACTATATATTTTGTTTTGGTAAAATCTTAATCTATAGGCACTGAATTTCCTTTTTCTTCTCCCCCTGTCTCTCTCTGTTTCTGTGTGTCTCTTTCTGTCTCTCTTTTTTCCCTTCCTACCAATTTCTTAAAGACAGAGCTCAACTTGAATATTTAATAATAGATTTGTAGTTTCCACACTCTGCCAGGGCGTCTTAGGGTAATATCACTGCAGATTCATAGAAGTGCCATTAAAAAAAAGTCTATAGCTATCTATCTAGAAAATAAAGACCCTCTGAGTTGAGAATCATGTCTGGGAGTTTTTGGGGTAGAATATTCTATTTTATAATTTCTGTTTCCCTCCTGAGATTTCCTGTCTTGTTTATTAGAAGCATATTTTCCTTTGTGTCTTCTAACATATTTATAGTAGATGCTTTTAAATCCTTGCCTGCTCTTTCCAACATCTGGGTCATCTTGGGATCATCACCACTGACTGCTTTGCTTCTGTATATATTTTATAGTTTCCTATTTAAAAAAAATATTGTTTATGTATCTAGTAATGCTGGATTCTATCCTGGATGGTATGAATGATTCACTATAGAGAAGCTGACAAAGCACAGCCTATGGGGCACATGTGGACTGATGGGCCTACGGGCTAAGAATATTTTTTATATTTGTAAATGGTTACATTTCAAATGGTTATGTAAGTAGCTATATAATATCTTCCAAGTTGCTTCTTGTCCAGAAAAGCCTAAAATAATTACTGTCTGGCCTTTATTTTTTTTATTTTTAAAGATTTTATTTATTTGACAGAGAGAGAGAGAGAGCACAAGCGGGGGGATTGGGAGAGGGAGAAACAGGCTCCCCGCTGAGCAGGGAGCCCAATGCGGGACTCAATCCCAGGACCCTGGGATCATGACTTGACCTGAAGGCAGACGCTTAACCAACTGAGCCACCCAGGCGTCCCACTGTCTGGCCTTTAAAGAAAAACCACTTTTTGCAAATCCCTGACTCTGGATTCTCTTCCATTTGCTTGAAGTCAGCTGGTTTTTGTTCCCTTAAGCAGTTACTTGGCTAAACTCAAACTCCTAGTTGTCTTTTCTGTGATGGCAGCAGCTGAAATCTGTGTGGTGTCTACCCTATCTGTGGGAACCAGGCGCCAGTTAGAGATCTGCGTGATTTTATATGCAGAAGTTTGGGCTTCCAGCCATGTTCCTTTCTACCTCTGTGCTCTGATATTTCAACAAGTAAGACTGAATTTCTGTTTGAGTAGGGCCTATCCTTGCACAAAAGCCATTGGAAACCATTTCCTGGGTCTTACTCCCCAGTGCTGATGCCTTCTTCCTAGGGTCAACTTCTCTCTGGTTTCTGCTTGTTTTGGATCACTGGCCATGTGTTTGGATAGTTGTCATTTTGTAGTTTGTGCAGAGCTTATAAATAATAGTGAACTGCACGGAGGGTAGTTTGGTAGAAGCTGGTCTGCTGTTACCAGAATCAGAGTTCCTTTATTAGGGCATAAGATTGTCAGAAACAGTTTATTAGGTCCCAGTGAGAGAAGACTCTTAATTGTTACCTTACTTGTATTGTGGTGATAATTTCATAAGCGTATACATGGGTTAAAACTCATTAAGATGTGAGCTTTAGGCAGTTTTATTATATGAGTAGGTAATAATACATGATACAACAATAAAGCTTTAAAAATATATAGAACCCTGCGGCACCTGGGTGGCTCAGTTGGTTAAGTTGTCCGACTCTTGATTTCAGCTCAGGTCATAATCTCAGGGTTGTGAGATGGAGCCCCACATCAGACTCCATGCTGGCGTGAAGCCTGCTTAAGACTCTCTCTCTCCCTCTCCCTCTGTCCCTTGCCCTTCCCCCAACCCCTGATCGCGCTCATGCTCTCTCTCTCTAATTTAGAACTCTTAAATTTTGCAACTATAAAGTAACTAGATTAACTTTATAAATTTATTTCTGCAAGTCATACTTGAATTCTTTATAGCAGTACAGAAAATTAATTCTAAGGTTAGCATCCTTGCCTAATAGTTTTGTTGGGAAGGACACTTGACTCATGTGAAAATCTTTCGTATGAAGACTGGAGTCCTTTACCCAGAATTTGCCTCCGTATTAATAACGAAGTTGCAGAAAAAGGAAGTACAGTATTGACTTGGTTAACCTGAGAGATAGCTGTTGATTCTTCATTGGTTTCTTTATGTCATCCGTCCTTCATTAGTAAGAATCAGAGTTTGTAGTTTTCCTCAAATATGAAATTGAAGCTGCCTCTTCCTCCTTAAATTTCTAAATACGCTGCCTTGAAGATTCCTGGAAATTGTTTTCTGATCATTAGTTTTAGACATTGAAGGTATTGCTAAAGGTCATCTTTAAAAACACGTTGGCAAAATATATTAGGACCTGAGCTCCCAGTGGGTGTGCTAAAGAGCCCTGGGACATCACAGTGAGTTCACTTACAGAGCTGCTGTGGGGTATTTTAAGTTTTGGAAGAAGCATGGTAATACTTGACTTTTTTTGGACACCACACACCTACCAGCCCCAGGCAGTGATGATTTCATTAGATCGCGCTGCTTTCCTTTGCTGATGCCGTACTTGAGGGTGCTGAGTTCTTGGTGATCACTGTGGTGCAAAGCAAATACTGTGTGAAAGTCATTGTGGAACATGAAATAAGGGTCTCGCTGTCTGTTCTGTATCTGACATTAGATTAATTTTGGAGTGCTCAACAGACAAGCACAACCCATCAGGAAGTTGGGTTATTTAAGAATGAAATATTTATCTCAAATTGATGTTTTATTTTTTCAAATGGCTATGAAGTTATTAGGACATAGCTACACAGTTCTGGGATTTAATTTAGTAATTGGACCATCAGAGGTATTTCTTTTGGGTTCGGAGCTCTGTGAAACAGTTTTCTGATCAGTGAAGGTGCTGTGAACCAAGAAAGTTTGGGAACCTCTGGATTAGAGAATGATTGCTTATTTTGGAATTTGGTTATTTAAATTTAGTGAAAAATACTTTCATGTCACTTTATCTCGAATGTATTTATTACAGTGTTTTGGATTATTCACTGACTTAATTAACAAAGATGATAAACATTTTCTCTGATTCAGAGTAACAGTGCCTCAAAGTCTTTATTTGAACATATGATGTTGTATAGCCATTAATGATTTAGGAGACTGGAAAAATGTGTCTTAACTTCAAGGCATAACTTTGTAAATTAATTAAAATGATATATCCTTTATGTCTAATTATCTCTTATTTTTCTATTTACATAAAAGCATAGCATGTGGGTCATGTGGCAGGGAGAAAGGTTAATTGAAGGTTCTGATATTTGCTCTTTAATTAATAGGCTTTATGTTAGAGAATTATGAGTTCATCTTGAAAATTGAATATACTGACAGCTCTTTAGAAATATAGCTGTTTTATAAATTGAAGTATACCTTTACATGGAAAACTCCTTTCGTTAAGGCATCAATTGGTAATTTATTAAATCTTTTTAGAGACTTAATGAGTTCCTCTGCAAAATATTTTTACCTTAAATATTTTAATTCTCTTCATAATATTAATCTCCTTCCTTCATGCTTGAATATTTCCCTCCAAATCAGTGAAAAGGTAGACATAACTTGGAAACGTCTCCATTAGTTTTGCTGAAGAACGTGCTGTGACGTTTTCGCCTTTGCACTTGCTGTGCCCCTCCTCGCTGAGTCCTGTTCTCCCTCTTTCTGTCAGAAGCGTCAGGCATGATGTACCCTTGCGCTTTGTCCATACTTCATCTCTTACCAGAGTGTTTTTTTTTTTTATTAACATATAATGTATTATTTGTTTCAGAGGTGCAGATCTGTGATTCATCAGTCTTAACACAATTCACAGCGCTCACCATAGCACATACGCTCCCCAATGTCCATTACCCAGCCACCCTATCCCTCCCACCCCCCTCCACTCCAACAACCCTCAGTTTGTTTGCTGAGATTAAGAGTCTTTTATGGTTTGTCTCCCTCTCTGGTTTGACCTTGTTTCATTTTTCCCTCCCTTCCCCTATGATCCTCTGTCTTGTTTCTCAAATTCCTCATATCAGTGAGATCATACGATAATTGTCTTTCTCTGATTGACTTATTTTGCTTAGCATAATACTCTCTAGTTCCATCCACGTCGTTGCAAGGGGCAAGATTTCTTTTTTTTTTTTTTTGATGGCTGTATAATAATCCATTGTGTGTATGTATATACATACACACCACATCTTCTTTATCCATTCATCTGTTGATGGACATCTGGGCTCTTCCCATAGTTTTTACCAGAGTGTTTTAAGTAGCTCTTCACCTGCTTGTCTTGACTTTCCACTGAAGTACTTAAGTGGAGGGATTTTTTTTTTTTTTAAAGATTTTATTGATTTATTTGAGAGAGAGAGAGAGCATGAGAGCGGGTTGAGGGACAGAGGGAGAAGCACACTCCTTACTGAGCAGGGAGCCCGATGTGGGACTCGATCCCAGGACTCCAGCATCAAGACCTGAGCCGAAGGCAGATGCTTAACCGACTGAGCCACCCAGGCGCCCAAGGGAGAGTTTTTTAAATTTGTTTTTATCTAGCAAGTGCTTTGCCCACACTGTGCATTCAGACATACTTGCTAAATGAATGATAGAAGCCTCGTTGTCTCCCTTTTTTGTCTAACCATTTTTTCTCTCTCTTTAAAATCTTTCTCCATGCAGTGCCCTAACCATTTCTAATATTCAGGCTGGATCGACTGGAAATTGGGGCTGTCACGTCCAGACCAAACGCGGGAACAATACAAGAACTGTCGATATCGTGGTATTAGAAAGCTCTGCACAGTATTGTCCTCCCGAGAGGGTGGTAAACAATAAAGGGGATTTCAGGTCAGTGACATGGAGAGTGCTGGAAAAATGATTTGCCCATATCTGTTTTTATTCTTAAAGTGCATAATTGGTCTACTATCCTCAAGAAGAAAATTTGAGAGATATCTTTGTTTTCACATATATATCCTTATATATCTAAGGACTGCCCTTCAGAGCACTGATGTCAGAGTCACATATGAAGATTAAGAAGAAAGGGTGCCTGGACTTTATCTCAGACGTGTTGATTTAACGTCTCTGCAGACAGAGTGTTTCATGTTTAGCGGTTTGTTGTAAAAATTAAGAACCACTACCTTAGGGAAACATTTTGGAAATTCTACTAAAATTGCAGAATTCAGAAAGGCTAATGGTATGTCCTGTTTTTTTTAAGGGCTCTTTTATGGATGACCTTTGGAAGGTTTTGTATTGCTAAGATACTTTTAACTATTGGCAGTTAAGTCAGGGAGAAAGCCAAGGTCACTATCCTCCCCAGTTTGGTCCTAAGCAGGAAGGACTTTGGGGGATGAAAGCTTTTGGATGGTCTGAAACTCTGGGAGCCACTGCTGTTGGACTCTGTATTGAGATAAGCAGAATGAGTGAGATACTACAGTTTTTTTAAATAGAAAATTTAAAATTTGTGGGAGGTAACAGCTTTTGCCTTAGACTCTCCTTGCTTTCAAGATTGTTTAAAAAAAAAGCTTTTGCCTTAGACTCTCCTTACTTTCAAGGTTGTTCTTTTAAATATATTACTTATTTAATGTTTTTTATGTTCAGGATTTTAATAATGACTTTATAGTTGATGTAAATGAAAGGAAATATGTTGCTCTTTAAAGCAGCGTCAGTTTGTTGAATACCCAGTTTGTACTCCTATGATTGGTACTCCTACTACCCAAGTTGTAAGGGTAAGAAAACCCTTTGGTATTAATCTTTTAAATCCAAGGTGAATGATTTCACTCATATGTGGAATTTAAGAAACAAAACAGAGGATCATAGGGGAAGAGAGGACAAAATAAAACAAGACGAAATCAGAGAGGGAGACAAACCATAAAATACTCTTAATCATAGGAAACAAACTGAGGGTTGTTGCAGGGGAGGAGGATGGAGGGATGGGGTAACTGGGTGATGGGCATTAAGGAGGGCACATGATGTAATGAGCACTGGGTATTATATAAGACTGATGAATCATTGAACTCTGTCTCTGAAACCAATAATACATTATATGTTGATGAATTGAATTTAAATAAATTTTAAAGAATAAATAAATAAAAATAAAAAATAAATCCAAGGTGAAGAAGCAGTAGCAACATCTTTAGCTCAGCTAGTTCTTAAATGCTTTTTTAAAAACTGTCTTTTGTCCTTTAAAAAAAAAATTCTCCCTGACGCAAGTATATGGAAATTAGCATTTATTATTGCCAATGGATAAGTCCTTTATGTAGATTAACTGTTAATAGATAATATTTATACTGTATACTTAAAAAACAGGTAACATTTGTGAATTTTGTTATATTCTGCATCTTTTATTAAGTAATCATAATGTTTTCTATTTATGGTGGATTTTCTATTTTTGCTCATAATTTGACTATTTTACATTTTTAAAAACAGAAGAATCTGATTATTTGACTGATTAATGAATTAGCTTTTGATACTCCTTAGTATATTATGCAGTTAAACTTTCACTGCATTAATAAGATTTAGCTTAGTGTTGCTTAATCTGTTTATGCAGATTTTGGTAATGAATTATATTTTGGTATGACTGCTATTCTAATTTATCAGTTCTTATGTTATAGGTCAACTGTAACTTTTATTAAATATATTCAGTTCATTCCCAGTTTTGGAGAAAGGGAGCTCAAATGACAAAGATTTCTCCCAACTGCTAGTGACAATCCATGCCCACAGATTTGTGTAGTCTCCTGCATAGGGGGTACCTTCTCCCAGATAAATTCAGTTGTATACTGTGTTGCGGGTCTGCTAGACCTCCCCGACATGCAGAAATTTGCTTGGAGGACTCATGGTACCCAGCATGTCGTTGTAGTCACAGCTAAGATAGATTTTGGTTATATAGTAAGATAGGTAGCTGGATAACGAGGGGAAAGACATAGGTGCATTCTGGAGAGATCCAAGGGCAAGCTTCTTGGTATTCCTCCTCCAGCCGCAAAAGGGCAGCAACGCTGTATAGAAGTGGATACAGTGTTGCTGCCCAGGGAAACCCTTTGGAGACTCAGTATCCAAAGTTCTTCTTGCTGGTCGGGTAGGCAGGCACCCTCTGTCTGGCATGTACCAAAATTTCAGACTCCAGGGAAGAAAGCAAGTTTCAGCATAAACCGTACTGCTTCTCCAAACAGTCTAGGCATGGTGAACAACCCTTACCAGTTAACTGTTCATGGGAATACTCCAAGTCCCAAATTCCTAGGTGCCACTGAAGGGCCCCCCACGGTGGCAGGCAGGCCTTGCCAAGGAGAGCAGTCCTGCACCTGCTATAGTGAATTGTCGGCACATCTGGGAACCCCGCTTTTGTGCCATCTGTTGAACTGGTTTTCTTTCTTTTTTTTTTTTTTTTTTAACTGGATGTAAGACCATTTTGCTGTGTGTTTATAGCAACATTTAGAACATCTTAAGAAAATATCCTACGGTATTAAAGTAAATGTGGCTGATAGTTTAAAACAGCTTAGTCCATGCTAACCTTTTAATTTTTTTTTAAACTCTCTGTTCTGAAGGAGTCCGTTTCTTCTTGATTTTTCTCCATGATTATCCATGATCTGTCCTGATCCTCAATGTTCCTCTGCTGTGATTTGTGTCCACGTCGGTTTTCACATCCTTTTTTGTCTTCATCTGTCTAGATGGCCCAGAACGTTAGCAGGCATTACGGCGTACCTTCAGTGCACTCGGAATACCCACGGCAGTGGGATCTATCCCGGAAACCCACAGGATGAGAGGAAGGCTTGGCGCAGATGCGATAGAGGGGGCTTCTGGGCGGATGATGATTATTCTCGCTGCCAGTATGCAAACGATGTCACTAGGGTGCTTTATATGTTTAATCAGGTAACTACAAAGTCTCCCCTTTGCTGAGGTTGTTAATGTATTTTAGTTGAAATACCAGGTGTGTGTGTGTGTTTTAAATACTAGTAAAGCATAAGGATTTGGTGTTACATTCAGTCCATCTGTCTTTGGGATCAAGCCTCGTCACCGCCTCCAGTATTCAGGGCCCTCCCTGGTGTCCGTTTTCCTTTCCAATGGCTGCCTTTGTTTGAATATCTTTATCATCTGTAGCCACTGGACCAAATCCCAACCGTCCTTCAAATCCATCTGGGTAGCCACCTCTTGGGCTTCTTTTATAATCTGTCACCGGTGATCCCTTGTCATACTTGTACCCCTCAGACGCCTTTTCTTGTCTCCGCTCTTGTGTGCCTCCGTTTTTAACCTGACCAGATTGGAAGCAGTTGGAAGATGGTTTCTGTTACACATTTTCTTACACTCCCTGGTACCTGTTACACCCTTTGTGGAATGGTTGGTGCCAAGTTGTGTGTAAGTCAATAAATAAGCAAATGTAGACCATTACTGGACGTGCATGGCAGTATAGATCAATGCTTCTTCCTCCCATGCGCAGGGGCTCCAGGGGAGTTATTGATCCCTCCCAGTCGGAATACTCAGGAAAGGCTTTACTACGCAATTGGCATTGAGTATGTGTAGAATTTGGATAAGTAGAGAGGGAGAGATGGTGCAGCATGTTTACCAGATGTGTTTTAATGTATTATTGTATTTCAAAGTTAAAAAAAAAATTCCTTACGGTTAGTTACCATTAGAATTCCGCTTTCCTCAGGTTTGAGAAAGCGTTTTAAGAAGGTCCTGGTGATAAATGATAAAGAGTTTGAATTCATTGCCATGTTTGGAAGTGCAAAGATAAAATGTCAAAATTCGTTGTTCGTTTTTGCCTTTTTAATATAGATGCCTCTCAATCTTACGAATGCTGTGGCCACAGCCCGACAGTTACTGGCTTATACCGTGGAAGCCGCCAATTTTTCTGACAAGATGGATGTTATATTTGTGGCTGAAATGATAGAAAAATTTGGAAGATTTACCAAAGAGGAAAAGTCCAAAGAGGTATTTTTCTGGTTCACCTTTGTAGCATATAGCATGTCAACATATGGTCATGTGGTAGAGCTGAATCTCTGTTTTTAAAGCCTCTTTATGTTTGCTGTATTTCAATTAAATGCACTTTTTAATTTCCAAAACTGTTGTGGAGAAATTTATGCTCCATTTATTTATTTATTTATTTTTAAAGATTTTATTTATTTGAGAGAGAGAGAGAGCATGAGAGCGGGTTGAGGGACAGAGGGAGAAGCACACTCCTTACTGAGCAGGGAGCCCGATGTGGGACTCGATCCCAGGACTCCAGCATCAAGACCTGAGCCGAAGGCAGATGCTTAACCGACTGAGCCACCCAGGCGCCCAAGGGAGAGTTTTTTAAATTTGTTTTTATCTAGCAAGTGCTTTGCCCACATTGTGCATTCAGACATACTTGCTAAATGAATGATAGAAGCCTCGTTGTCTCCCTTTTTTGTCTAACCATTTTTTCTCTCTCTTTAAAATCTTTCTCCATGCAGTGCCCTAACCATTTCTAATATTCAGGCTGGATCGACTGGAAATTGGGGCTGTCACGTCCAGACCAAACGCGGGAACAATACAAGAACTGTCGATATCGTGGTATTAGAAAGCTCTGCACAGTATTGTCCTCCCGAGAGGGTGGTAAACAATAAAGGGGATTTCAGGTCAGTGACATGGAGAGTGCTGGAAAAATGATTTGCCCATATCTGTTTTTATTCTTAAAGTGCATAATTGGTCTACTATCCTCAAGAAGAAAATTTGAGAGATATCTTTGTTTTCACATATATATCCTTATATATCTAAGGACTGCCCTTCAGAGCACTGATGTCAGAGTCACATATGAAGATTAAGAAGAAAGGGTGCCTGGACTTTATCTCAGACGTGTTGATTTAACGTCTCTGCAGACAGAGTGTTTCATGTTTAGCGGTTTGTTGTAAAAATTAAGAACCACTACCTTAGGGAAACATTTTGGAAATTCTACTAAAATTGCAGAATTCAGAAAGGCTAATGGTATGTCCTGTTTTTTTTAAGGGCTCTTTTATGGATGACCTTTGGAAGGTTTTGTATTGCTAAGATACTTTTAACTATTGGCAGTTAAGTCAGGGAGAAAGCCAAGGTCACTATCCTCCCCAGTTTGGTCCTAAGCAGGAAGGACTTTGGGGGATGAAAGCTTTTGGATGGTCTGAAACTCTGGGAGCCACTGCTGTTGGACTCTGTATTGAGATAAGCAGAATGAGTGAGATACTACAGTTTTTTTAAATAGAAAATTTAAAATTTGTGGGAGGTAACAGCTTTTGCCTTAGACTCTCCTTGCTTTCAAGATTGTTTAAAAAAAAAGCTTTTGCCTTAGACTCTCCTTACTTTCAAGGTTGTTCTTTTAAATATATTACTTATTTAATGTTTTTTATGTTCAGGATTTTAATAATGACTTTATAGTTGATGTAAATGAAAGGAAATATGTTGCTCTTTAAAGCAGCGTCAGTTTGTTGAATACCCAGTTTGTACTCCTATGATTGGTACTCCTACTACCCAAGTTTTAAGGGTAAGAAAACCCTTTGGTATTAATCTTTTAAATCCAAGGTGAATGATTTCACTCATATGTGGAATTTAAGAAACAAAACAGAGGATCATAGGGGAAGAGAGGACAAAATAAAACAAGACGAAATCAGAGAGGGAGACAAACCATAAAATACTCTTAATCATAGGAAACAAACTGAGGGTTGTTGCAGGGGAGGAGGATGGAGGGATGGGGTAACTGGGTGATGGGCATTAAGGAGGGCACATGATGTAATGAGCACTGGGTATTATATAAGACTGATGAATCATTGAACTCTATCTCTGAAACCAATAATACATTATATGTTGATGAATTGAATTTAAATAAATTTTAAAGAATAAA